GAAGTAAACTCAAAATAAGGGTAAGGCTTTGCCTCTCTCAAGAAAAGAGGGCGTCATTTGCGAAGAAAAACCAACATCAAGGAGAACTACCGTTCCTCAGGAGGGCAGAATATGTTTAACCAAAATGTTTTACCAAAAAGCAGCAAGGGATAGTGCCCCGTGAGACAGGTGAGTAATTGCTAATATTAAGTGCTTGTATGTTCTAAGTGTTTTTTGCCATTGCAATGATAATGAGAGAAAGCTGTGTAGGCAAAGCATGTGATACATTGTCTCACACTTCAATCAGCTAATGTTTGCAGATGAGATGGTGCACTTTTCCATTTTACACAGTGAAGCAATTTGTTAATAGCTGAATGGTACAGGACCAGGATATACTGAATGTTTTGAATGTAGTGAGGAAAAAAATAAAGCTACGGCGATTTGATTTGCGCATCACTAGTGTAAAAATCCAAACCGTAGTGGAATAGAATAAGCACTCACATGGGTTGGAATTTGAGGCGAGAGGTACAAATCCAGCACTGCTCAGCTTAGACAAGGGTTTCGTCGGGTTTTTATACACTTGCTTCGTAAAACCACTTGGCCTAATGCGGAAATGGGCAATGTAAGATTTAAAAAATCCCCAGCATAGAAAAACGTCGCTTTAATGAGCATAACATTGGCCGTTAGTCTCATTACACTAATGAAAGCAATAAAAAATTTCCAGGTAAACAGAAATTTTTCCGAGAAAGGAACCTGCCAAAAAATGCTAAATTATTGAATTTAAGCACAATGAGAAACCCTGTCTTCCCCCTCTAATCAGTAATGACAAATTGATAAATCCAGCATGTATTGCTACTATGATTAATCACGGAAAGTGCACCACACTTACCCGCCCAAAAAAGCAACACGTTGACCGTCCATTTCGCCGTAGATATCGGCGATCATATCCGCATTGACATCACACACCAAAGGCTGGCTCCCAAAAAGTCCAACAACACTGGTTTCTAAGGTGTCAAAGATCGTGTTAGAAATTAGAAAGGAATGGGAATAAGCATGAATCGATATGAGTTACAGCATCAGGCTTAAGCAGCAAACGGGGTCTAAACTAGATTCAAAAGTAAAAAACGAGTACGGTAAACATTAGTCTGTATTATGTTTAGAGCCCTTGACTGCATTCGATGGGAGATACGCTTTAAATGACTAATAATTTGCTACAAAAATCACAAGACAGTATGCTCCTAACAGAAACAAAAGTTTGAAGACTTCACTCAAGTTACTGTATTTGTAGCGAATAGCACAGTGATTCGCATCGCTGTGATATGAAGCGGAACAAACATTGACGCTACAAAGGTGAACTCACCATTCGTTCCCCCATAATGCACCTCGACGGAGTTACTGAAAACAAGAAGATAGTCTGCTACAGAGTCACCGTCGAAATCAGCCACTGCAATGCTTCGGAGAGAAGACGAATCATGCAGGTGTGCTAGTATCTGCCGCCTAGGTTTGCCATCAGTCTGCTTAGCGTTCGGTGCCAGGAGGGCGTCGAGACTTGATTCTTTCAAGGATAACACGATGGCATCCGTTCGTCTGTCCGCATTAACGTCGGCAAAGGCAGCCAAATCAGCGTCCAACCAAGAGGCAATCAAGGAGAAGCTCGAGCCTCCAGGGCCAGAAATGGCCATAGATTGCACGTTAAACAACCAAACAGCCAATATGTACGCGTATGCTCGCATTTTCTACAAAATTAGTTCCATGATTTTGGTGGTGCGATGACTGCCATGTGATTTGACATGAAAA